AAGAAAAGCAAGAAAAGAAAAAAGAAGGATATCGGGAATTTCTAAATGAGGGAAAATTTAGGTTTCACGTAGGAGCGTGTCTTTTCCTAGGTTTAGTAAACTGAGAAGGTAGTAGGTGGGTCCGGGAGAGAAAAGGTAAGAAGAAGCTGACCTTGGGGGAGACAGGCGAGCATAGGGCATGGACACACCAGAGGAGACCTGTAGAAGATCGAGGTGTCTGAGTTGAGATGACGTCGCACTAGGAGGATCATGATGGTGAATGCATAAAATTCCTCACCGCTTAACTCATACATCGCTGTAGCGGGGCGTTTCGTGAACGCCGCGTTGGTAGGTCTCGTGAGTTCTGAGTAAGTATGGGTATGGCTAGCCAAGCGAGCTCGGGGGAAGGGGTCTCCGGTACATAGGTGGATCCTCCGTGGAAGTGGGACCTCACAGAGTAGTGATCCACCTGTGTCCTCTCCACCACGTCGCACGGTGGGTGGAGTGGATAGCTATGGAGAAAGGCGTGTAAGGCAAGCCGCGTGTCGACGCAGGTGCACAAGTCGTCGCTGAAGCGCGCGCCCCTTCCGAGTCCTTCCCTCCCGCCCTAAATTTGGGAAAGAGAAAAAAAATGTAAAAACCCAGGGGAGCCCACAATTCTTCCAAGAACTGCAGTGGAGCACAACCCTAATATGGGCCTCGTTAGACCCTCCTTGGAAAATCCTTAGGAATTAGGATGGAGTCCTTGGAAAAAATTTCGGTTTTCGGCGTCGTCGTTACACCACATCCTAATTCAATGGGTTTCAAGGAAAATCCTTGGAGGTCTCCAGCGGCCAATTTCATACGCATACAAGCGGCCGCGGGGGTGGATGTTCGTCATCGTGCTGGGATGTCCGTGTGTCATCGGGCGTGGTCCAGTGGCAGTGGCGGGGAGGCCTACCGGGCTGGCGAAGACAAAGGGCGCCAACATCCCCATTCCAATTTCAAATTTTAAACCCTCCGTTGTGACACATCCGTGCGTGAGGCGTCTTGGCGGCTGGGCTGGAGACTGGGGCGAAACGTCTGTGCGGAGGAGTGATGGTGGCCATGGCTTAAAAGGAGGGCATTGGAACGTTGGGGGATATAGCATGCATGCTCCGTCGCCTTCGTGTTCTGCATGCTCTTCGGGCCGTCACAGCTTAGCGCGAACGTAATGCTTCCGCGAAACGTGGAAAGTGTGAGCGCGGTACCCATCGACATGCAGAAGGTGCAGTGAGGGCGCCGGCAGGCGAACGAGTGGTGGGTCCTTGCACAGTGCAAGTCCTGACAATGGAATGAGAGCTCCCAGGTGGTGCGAAGGCATTAACGACATTGGAGAGAAACATGGTGGTCGCAACTGTGTCAGTCTTCGCCATGCGTTATCGCATTGAGAAAACAACAACTCGCCTGAGGATGAGATCGTCCGTTTGCAGGCAGAGGCATCTGATGCAACAAGTGATGGATGCACCGGATTGTGTGTCATTATCGGAATCCATTCTGCAATTCTGTTGCGCCATGGCATCGGGTGTGATCATGCGGGCGACGCCGAGATGGTGGATGAGCAGAAGGATGGGAGGGACATGGGAGGATCTCCGACAGGTTGACGACGTGGCGGGGGCCTACGACAAGGAGAAGCTGCGCAGTGGAGTAGTCAATGGCACCCGTCGGCTGTCTGCTGGAGGTTTCCCGCCTGTCCATCGTCGTCTTCCTCACCGTTCGTCGTTTCTGTCTGCTGCCAGGACCCCGCACAACGACGCACACGTGGAACAACACGGCAAGGAGCAGGAGAAGAGTGGCCAGCAGCACGAGCGGGAACCGCTGGAGGACGTCTGCCATGAATCCCAGCGTGCGAGGCGTGTACCAAACAAAGCTTGCATCAATGTGTCCGGCAATAGACGACAAAACATGCTAGGCAGATGTCTGCAATCGACCAACAGTGCTTCAACATCGCTTGTAGACAAATAAAAAAATTCGACAATTGGACACCACGGCCGGCGACACGCGCATGGAAGACCCTGCTTCGTGAAGCGCCTTGCAGCTGAAGAACCACCCCCACGCATTTCCACGCCAACGGTAACGGTGGAAGGCCGTTGGGGGCGCATCGGGTACTGGAGGCCGGTGATGATGTCCGCCCAATGGACCACGGACGACCTATGCACCAACATCGATTCCCAATTTTCCTGTCGGCGCTCGCTCCAGAACACTCCGTCAATCACGGTTGCTTGAACCCAAGGGACCTCACGAGGACCCCTTGAATCCAAGGACGTTTTGGCTGGGGATCCCGAGGAATCCAAGGAAATCTCTCGGGAGCGTTTTCACATTCATTCAAGAAATTTGGTGAATTAGGACGCTGTGTAACGACGCGGATTTCCTAGAGATCGGATTTCCAAGGAGGGTCTAACGAGGTCCTTTGTTGGATTTGCCTGGGCCACGAAGTGGTGGCTCCATTCGGCATGATGGACTTTTGAATTTCTCCTTGGTACCCCTTCCGACCTCGTAGATCATCATCACGTGTGCTACACTAGCAGTGCTATTCCCAGCTCGGCGACCTCCAACAGTGTTTTCATCATGACTGAATACAACTCGGCACAGGCTGGCCCATACATCCAGTACACAGCCCGCGGACCGGCCCATCTTGCTCGCGCACTGGCGGAAAATATTACGGATGAAGAGGGCGCCACACTTTGGTGGGTCCTCCGGCGAAAGAACGGTCCTGTCCTTCGGAGACATCGGTCAAAACTGGGTCTCTACAGGAAAGGAAAAAATGAGCCTCTACAACAACCTGGGCTTAGAAAAAAAAAAAAAGGCGTCCGCACAAGGATGACGTGCATGGATCGTCCTGCAGATGTTGGCCGGAGTTGGCAATGGCCTCTTTTCTGTACGATTTGGAGCCTAAGAACTTTTTCGGTGCAAGTTGTAAATCCTCTCATTCTTGCCTTCGGACCGTCGATCGATCTCCTCTAAAGGACGGCCAGAAATGAAGAATCACAGTAAGTGGGCCCTACGCGTAGGCCTGTGGACTAGATGGTTCCCTTTTCCCCGGGGCCAAGTCCCACTAGCAAAGTTGAGTTCCGTCAACGCCTGAATCTGGACGTGTTTGTGGAGACGTGCAGAAATGGAGTTGAGTTGAGTTTCCTCAACGGCACACAGCCACAAACACGTCCAGATTCAGACACACAGCCACAAACACGTCCAGATTCAGGCGTTGAGGAAACGTCAACGTATCCTGTGGGACGTCGCCGCCGGTCTATTGCGGGGTGCTTTTACTGCGAACTTTCGCTTGCCTGAGCTTTCGGCGCCATTGGGATTTCGCTTGCGGTGTCATATTGTGCATCTGCCCTTCGCGTGAGACTGGGACACTGGGTCACTGCCATTTTGCCCTTCGCGTGAGCTTGTGGCGCTGGCGTCATTTCGATTTTGCCCTTTCTAAATGAGCTTGTGCCGCTGGCTCGCTGCACTTCCTCCCCTTTCTCCGTACGCTTGTTCTGCCGCTGGCGCCATTGCGTTTTTGCCCCTGTGCATGAGCTCATGCCCGCTGAAGCTCCTCGTGTGAGTATGCCCTAACTCAAGGTGCTCGCTTTTTCCTTTTTTTCTTTTTTTTAGCGCCATTGTCACTTCTTTTTTTTATTTTTATTTTCATTTTATTGTCACTTCTTTTTTACCTCCATTCTCTCACGATTCGCTACCCACACAGGGTACCAATCAGGGCATACTCAAATTCGGACCTTAAAAAAAAAGGGAAAAAAAAAAAAAAAAAAAAAAAAAAAAAACTCGGACCTTCCGAGATGTATATAAGCGGACCGCCACGTGACCTTCACCGGGATGAATGTGACCGCGATTGGGACCAGAGCTCAGTCGAAAAGGTCCTTGTGTGAGCATGCCCTCAGTCTAGAATCTAGATACCTACGAAGGGTACCATACCATTCAGTCTAGCTAGCCACACACAGGGTTCCAATCAGGGCCTCGCCACACCACTCTTTTTTTTTTTTTTTTTTTGTTCGCCACACCACTCTCGAAAATTTGAAAAAGCAAAAAATAAAATAAAAATAAAAAATAAAAAATTTGAAAAAGACAAAAATGTGGCAGGTGCATCTGGCCATGTTCTATCAGAAAGTTCATTCTCATTTTCCACATTTCGAGAGTGGTGTGGCGATGCCGTCCGTGTAGCTACCAGTGCGACATTGACATTGGCGGCGCACGGTTCGGGTGCTGAGGGCAAACTCAGACGAGGACCTTTTGTTCTAAGCTGTGGACTCAATTGCAGTCAGATTCATCTGGATCTTGCCGTAATTGCGGTCAGATACATTTAGAAAAGTCATCGTTTGAGTGTGCCGTACGGCAAGCGCGGGCAGCTGGCGTGGAGAGGGAGATCTAGCGAGATTTTTTTTTTTTAATTATTTTTTTATTTTATTTTAATGGTGATTTAGCGAGATTTAGCGGTGGCGAAGATGATAGGCCCTCGCCACACGACTCTCGAAAATTAATGTGAAAAAGACAAAAATGTGGCGGGTGCATCTGTCCATGTTCTAGCGGGAAGTTCATTCTCATTTTGCATATTTCGAGAGTGGCGTGGCGATGCCCATAGATTCGGCCAGCTCAAGCGCGGGGCGGGGGCGGGGGCGGGGGCGGGGCAATTAGCAACAAGTCTGGAAAAAACTGCAGCGGCGGGCAATTTAGAACGAGGACGGGTGGGGCGATTAGCAAAAACGTCTGGAAAACTGCAGCGGCGGGCATTTTAGAACGAGGAGGGGCGGGGCAATTAGCAAAAACCTCTAGAAAAAACTGCAGCGGCGGGCAATTTAGAACGAGCAGCGGCGACAAAAAAAAAAACAAAAGGCGGGAAATGTTGCACAGCACACTCGAGTTGACAAACGTGAAGGGGGGCGGAAGTTAGCCGACATTTTTTGGGGCGGCGATATTGAACCCATTAGTCGACATTCATTTTTGAGCGGGGCGATATGGAACGCATTTTCGAGAATATTTGAGCGGCGATATTGAACGGAGTCGAAATTTTCTTTGGGCGGGAGATCATCTAGTAGCACTTTACTATGGTAGGCTCTGCTCTATCGACTGCTGCAGTTGATAGGAAGAGGAAGAGGATTAAAGAGTGAGCGAAGTCCGAGGCCGGCGGTAGGAGTAAGAAGGTTTTTGGGAGGGAGGTGGCGGTCGATTGATAGAAACGCAGCGCAGGGCCTGGCGCAGGATATTAAAAACGAAGTCGATTTTTTTTTTGGGTGGGAGATCATCTAGCACTTGAATTGTTTCTGCTCTATAGACTGCAGTTGATAGGTATTAGGTAGGAGTAAAGAGGGAGCTAAGTCCAAGCCCTGGGATAGGAGGAGTAGTGAGAAAAAGAGGCCATAGATTGTCTTTCGTGCAGATTTTTTGGGCGGGAGGTGAGGGAGGTGAGGGTGGTGATGGTGGTGGTGGTGATCGATTGATAGAAACGCCAGCGCACCGCAGCGCCACCATTCGAATTGATTTGATTGATTGATTGATTCGTGGAATCATCATAATTCTGCTGAGCGGGATCTGAGTGACATCTAACAGGGCTTGGCGCGCAGGGACTGCCATCTGCTGTTGGAAGGAAGCACGAGGATTATGCGGCAACCGGTGAGAAAATGCGGCGGATTGCCGAGAACAACAACAACAACAAAAAAAAAAAAGAAGACAAAAAACAAATAAAAGCCCGATTGTCGTCGGCGGGCGGATCGGGTTTTGCCTTAACGACCTGATCGGTTGTGTGTGCAACCCTCTCTCTCTCTCTCTCTCTCTCTCTCTCTCTCTCTCTCTCCCCCCCCCTTTGTTCATTCAAATGGCTGTCTAGAAAGGCTTCACTCAAGTGGATTCTGTGTTTTGGGGCCTAGCCACAGCACTCACCAAATGTGAAAAATGAGAATTTATCTCCTACTATAACGTGGAAAGATTCAACCTTCAAAGTTTTGTATTTTCCAGGTTCGTTTACTGGGGCGAGCTCCTTGGTTTGGGCGTGGATCTCTGTTTTTGTTTTTTTGTTTTTGTTTTATATTGCTACCCCTAATGTCCACCACTAGCGGTGCTGCTGGTACGAGCAGGCACCGCTACCTAGTGTTGTTGGGGGAGACCCCATCTATAGGTAGGGGGTGGCACCTGCTGGAAACCGGGTCCAGCGTCCCATATACAAAGAACGAATATTCACAGAAGCTAAGAAAAATCCTTATGGAGCCGGCCACCACTGATTATTGCCCAGGGAGGGGCTATTGGGGATTGACTGTGCCTGCCTGAAAAATTTAGCGATAATTTAAAATGAACGTCTCAGACTCAGATTTTTCATATTGATGAATTAATGCAGGAGGAATGCGGTACCTCGCGCCCCTGAAAAAGCAGAAGTCTGTCAAAAAAAAAAAAAAAAAAAAAAAAAAAGCAGAAGTCGCCGTCCAACATACACTGTCAGTAAAAGTTACGGCTGAATTACGGTCTTCCTCATCCCAATAGAAACGCCCCGTCATTTTTTTTTATCGCTGCATCTAGACAGAATGTTGGCCCAAATACCGGGGCTAGGTCCCACTTGCACGAATTAACAGATACTGACCGTAGATATAGCGAGGATTAACGGCCGAAATCTCCTAATTTGCGCAAGTGGGACCTTGCCCCCGGTTATATGATGACGGGGCGTTATATGAGGATTAACGGCCGAAATCTCCTAGTATTGGGGTCAATAAGGTAGTGAAAAAAATGTAAGGTTTGGTATAGAATTTCCTGCTTCTGGTGAAAGTTTTCTCGATCGTATGGAAGTTATTGTATTGGTGTGGTGTTTGATCCAGGGGCGAATTGAAAATTGAAAATGAATCTACTCATGCGATGTGCAAATTGAAAATGTCAAAATGAATCTACCGCTAGAACAAGGAAAGATAACACTACCGTAATTTGTCTTTTGTGCATGTGATTGAGTAGTTGAGCGAGCCCCCAGGTCTCCTCGACACTGGAGTTCGATCCTTGTTCCACTTTACACCGATCACTCGCTGAATGAAAGACAAAAAAAAAATAAAAAAAAATCAAATGGCTGAGTGGGACGGGGACGAAATCGTTCGGTGACTACATCGTCTGATTGGAGGTTATCTTTTCCGATTCTTCTTTCTTCTCCTTCTTCTTCTTCTTTTTTATTTTTTATTTTTTTATTTTAATTCTGAACGAATGCTTCTTCTTCTTCTTCTTCTTCTTTTTAAATTCTGAACGAATGAGTTGAGCGTATGTTTTTGGTCCGATGGATTTTTTTTCGTTTTTTTTGTTCGGAAAAAATCAAAAAATTAAAGTATGTTACTGCGCCCATCACTTTTTTTTCCCTTTTTTTTTCGGAAATTGAATCTGCTCATCGATCCCATGATGTCGGGCCTCGCTCCCGGTGAGCTGCCCGGTGAGCTGCCCGGTGAACTGCCCGGTGAACTGCCCGGTGAGCTGCCCGGTGAACGTCAGCAGAAAGGGAGAGAAGGACCAGAAACGGGTAGGGCTGTGACAGACCCATCAGGAGGCTGAACCATCTACAGTCTGCGGAGTCCCCCTAGCCGACGATGGTATAACTAAGTCATAATCTATGATACCCATTAACGCCAGTTACATTCAAGTTGTAGTATATGATTGTACGTATATAATCTATGTATGTATACAGTCACAGAGAACTGCCCGGTGGATAGTAGCGGGACACTGGACCCGGATTCCAGGCGCCCAAGCTGAGTTATGGCCTCTGCAAGTTCATTCACGGGGTTGATTGTAAGGGGCGATTCCCGAGCCCTATGTTCAGTGGTCCGTTGTAATAAAATGAAACGCGGTTCGGAATCTCCCAAAAAGAAAAGAAAAGAAAGAAACAGTAGGTTTGTTACGAAAAAAAGGAAAAAAAGAAAAAAAAGGAACAGTAGGTCACAGTCCTCTGGATGTGTAGTCTTGTATATATCCTGATGAGTCGGTGAAACTGCGACGCAAATCCGTCACCATCCCACTTGCACGAATTAAGAGATACTGACCGTAGATAGCAAAGATCAACGGCCGAAATCTCCTAATTTGCGCAAGTGGAACCTTGCCCCCGGACACAATTGTGTACATATAAAGTGATAGTGATAGTGATAGTCTGCGTTGATTTTTGTCAGAGGTATATATGTATATATGTATATATACATATATACATGCCCCCGGACGACATCCTTCCGGACTCTATATGTATATATACATATAGAGTTTTCCATCTGGTGCGGGTGAGTGATAGTGATAGTCTGCTTTGATTTTCGTCACAGGTACATTGAGGGCAGCGGCTGGTGGTCCCCACCACCTCAGAGGGGTATCAGTTGTCGGGCAGTCTTGATGCCTAACCACAGCCGGGGTTAAAGTGGATTACCACTTACAGTGTAATCATTTAGGTASGGGATTCTGCAGACTGTGGAAGAAGGGTTCAGCCTCCTGATGAGTCGGTGAAACTCCGACGAAACAGATTGTCACAGCCCCTCGTTTGTTTTCCTCTTCTCCCTCTCATATGAGTCGGTGAAACTCCCACGAAACAGTTGAACGTTCAGCCTGCGCTTTACCGGGCAGCTCTGTTTGACGATATATATGCGATATATATGCATTTTTATCATAGATATGATATTGACATGTAATATATGTTTCCCCCCCCCCTCCCCCTTCTTTGTCCCTTTCATCCCCTTCACAGAGTAGCATTTGTAGGAAGAAAGCAATGGTAAGAAGAAAGCAATGGCCAAACACACTTGCTCCTGAACACGGAACCAATGATGAAGAACGTTACATCCAATGCGGGTGTTATCTCAATTCAGTTCGCGGACATTCGCCGTCATACGTTTCGACGCGGCTGTGCTACGGGCATCCTCAGGAGGCTTTCCTCCTAGACGAGCCTTGCGGCTTCCCACCTGATAAAAAAAAAAAAAAAAA